TTTTGGAAGCGTAAACTAATTTAAGTCGCTCGGATGGAGCTGAATAGTTTGTGACATTTTCATTTATTCCTAAAAGTAATATTATTCTCTCTCTCTCTCTGTCTCTTCCCTTTTTTACCACTTCAGTCGGGAAAATCTTCTTTTTCATCATTCATTCCAATCCTTTGCAACACATTCATCTTTGTTTAAATATTCATACATCATAGTAAATTTTCCCCTCTAGCCTTTATTGAACTGTTTGTATTGAGATATTCTGTAGATTCAAGTAAAATACCCTTCATATCTTTATCCATGTGCTTAAAATATCCGTAGGTGAGAGTAAATTCTCAATTCTCATGTACTTATTTAACTTTTTTTTTACAGAGATATTCCATATATTCAATTAAAATATATCCTTCTTACACGTAAAGCTGGGTTGTTTCAGAATTGGCATTTCATTGCATTCTTTTTCTGTTTCTCGGGAAAGATATACTTTTATTGGACTGAACTTATGGGCGTGTCTGCTGTCAGCCATCTTTTGTGCATCTGAAAAGGCTAATGATTGAAGATTTGAATTGTTTGTGGTTTGAGATTAGAATTGAATAGCAATTCTGTACCTTATAGGGAAATGGCTGACCAAATCATTATGATATTGGGAATGAAGCGGATCTCATTCATTTTTGAGCCCATGAAATCAACTGTTCATATAATTCTTTTTAAACAGTAGCAAAGGAGTTATTATGGCTTGATCTTTAGGTAATCTTTATTTTATTTCTCCTTATAAACTTGTTTGAAAAATATAACAGTCAACCTCACATGTTAGACTCGGACATGTTCAAATTACGCCCTTACACACACACACACACACACACACACACACACACACAAACAATAAACCGAGAAGTCTTTGCTTTATAAATTCTGCTGTGTTATTTGATAGGTAAAAAAATAGTTCAGTTCCATACCATGTGTTCTTAGAAGGGTACTTGCAATACACTAAAGTTATTAGGACATGCTTTTCTTCAGGGAAACCTCAAAAGAGGAAGGAAAGAACCCATTAGAAGTCTTTAAAGACTTCTTGACTGAACCCTCACTGCCTATATCTCTCTGTCTCTCTCATCCTCTTCTTCTTTTTCCAAACCCTTCAAGGTGAGTCATTATCCAATACCTCTCTATTTCTTCTGGTTTCCGCCCTGGAATTCTGCCTGCTATCAGATCCCACCTGAAAGGAAAAGCCATTTTCATAGTAACTCAGATGCTAGAAGGAGAGATGGAGCAGAATCTATCTCCACTCTTGCTGAAAAATCTGGGTTTCTTTGAACCCAACTTACCTATCTCCAATCAGCTTATGCATTCTATGGATAAGATCTTCCTCTTGTGCTGTCATAGTTATAAACTGCCACCTAGTGCTGCTGACTTCTGTTAGATAATAAACCACACATTCATAAAAAGGAAGTAGGACTTCAAATATCATAAGAAAGTGAGAAGATCATGAAGAGACGAATTCAGCATTGAGTAATAGGACATGGAAAGTAGAGACAATCGAGTTAAAACCTTCAGATTCTAGTGGAGGGAGTTTGGCATGTTTCTGCTGGCGATGATTGTTCATGTTTCCTCTTAAGATTAGAGGCAGCACAGAAACAGGAAGAAGATAGAGAACTGAGGATGACAGAAGTTTAGGAAAAACTGTAATGAGAGGGTTGAAACATCCACAGGGAAATTTAAGTTTATGTGAATGCCTATATGCTCTTTTGCCCACCAAACTTTGGGAAGTAAGTTTGTTGGTTGACTTGTTTGGTTGGTAGACTTGTAGTTGACAACTTACAGAGAGAGAGAGAGAGAGAGAGAGAGAGAGAGAGAGAGAGAGAGAGAGAGAGAGAGAGAGAGAGAGAGAGAGAGAGAGAGAGNGAGGGAGAGGTGTTCTCGGGGGGAAGGTCTTGTAGTAGTTTCATTCTTTTAGGATTAAGAGATGCCAAAAAACTCAGCACCCACCAACAAAACTTGAAATGGATGCCTAAAACTCTTTGATACGTCACCTTCTTTCTCCATACTGATTGCTTTAGGCAGTGCAGAGTTTGTAATCCAACCCAAAATTTATGCTCAACTGGTAGTTGGGGACGTGGGGAAGTGGTCTAGTAGTGCCTGTGTTCAGTTCAGCTAACCTTCTCCCCAACTGCTCTACACTGCACACACATACATTCAGATATGACACATCTTATCCTGCATTTATTTGGGCTCGGTATTCCAATTGCAACAGCCCCCTCCCCCAGGCTAGGACATAGAAATGAATACAAAATTATTTTGTCTGTTTAGGGACCCCTTCACTTCTACACACCCGGAGGAGAGAGTCGGGGGGCCAATGGTATAGTAACCATCTAGACCTACCTCTAGCTGATATTGTCTTATTTTGATTTTTCCTTCTAGGTTTCTCCTCAAAATTTTAAAACTCGTGTATTAGAAAGAGGTTTCCACACTTATAAGAAATGTTTTGTTCCCCTATTCAACTAATGTGGGATCTTACAATCCACCCCTCTTTTGGAGTCTAGTGTCCTTGCTGGCACACCGGCCGGTGTTTGTCTCTGTTATCATTTGTAATATTCCAAACCCACCGCTAGCAGATATTGTCCTTTTTAGGTAGGCATCCGCATTGATGGAGAGTAAATAGTGTGATGATGGAGAGTAAATAGTGTGATGTTGAAGAAATCCAAGCAAGCAAAATGGAAGATCAGCATAGAGTGGGAAAAGGTGGAAGGCAAGCAGAATAATGTCAAAATCAATATGGTATAACACAAAGCAGCTTCAAAACAAAAAGAAAAGTTTTGTGTTCCTTTTCCCCACTTAAAATTCACTCATCTTCTCTCTGGTTTGGTCAGGGTATAGCCTCAATTATTCATGTCCTTTCTAATTTCTACTGCACACATTGACTTCATCATCAGCTCTCCATTTCTTTCAAGTCTTTGGTGGGTTTCATGCATCCATATCATTATGCAATTACAATGATCATCCATTATTCTATGGTCAAAATTGTTATTACCTTGTTTGAAATTGTTATGCAATTACACCCTACAAGTTGTTCAACTTAAAATGGATATATATTCATATAATTTAATGTCGGGCAATGTTAGGAACCTAATTTAACTAATTAAGACATATATTCTCAACCGAGAGATCTTTTGTTAATTCTATCACTCGACACATGTTACTGGACACACTGTCATTAAAAAGAATAAAATAAAAAAAAGAATATTGATGCCAATGAATAGGTCATAGGGATGGTTTAATAGTTCTATATCGAGAATAGTTTCCATCTATCTTATCATGTCGTCTTTTAAAAAAAACGACAATGAGAAGAATTTTTATTTGTATTTTGAAAATAAAAAAATAAAAATAAATATTTCGTTAATCCAATGGGACCTATTTATTTTAATCCATTCTTGTTAATAAATTTATTTTATTTTTAAGTGGTATTAGTAGATATGAGTTATGAATCGTTCGACCAATTGATACTTTATGAACATATATATTTCAAAGAAAATATGAGTTCGAGCAATACTCATTTATAAAAAAATTAAAAAAAAAAAGTTTATATATAATTTTAAAAGGAAAAAAAAGAAAGAAAAAAGACATGCTTCAACCATTTGCAAATATGCTGTTCTTTTGAATTATTCATTTAGTTGAACATTGATTAAATATGAAACATCAATTTGAAGAACATTTAAAAGTAATGTGTTAATGAACCATTTGTTAATCAATATCAAATATACTTCAACAGTTATGGAATTATTCTCTAAGGACTCTTATATTATATTGTTGTATTTTTCTTATTAATTTAAAATTATAAAAGTTAATTTTTTTTGTTCGTGTTTTCAAATTTTAAATTAGTTTATAGTTCATTCGACATTAATTTAGGTAGAGAACCACAATTTTCTTGTATCTCTCGGATAATATAAGTTATTTTCATTGGACTTGTACTCGCATGGTTTTGTTTGTGGACTCAATCTAAAAGATATTCTCGTCCCTTATATAATATACCAAATTACAAATATATATATATATTTTGAATTTGGGTCGTTTCTATTTAAAAAATATATATTTTGTTTCCAAAGTTGTAGTATTATCTCTCGCCAACATAAACCGTTTCTAAAGTATCATTGAAGCATTTAAATTTCTAATGAAAATTAGGACCTAGAATGGTGTTGAGTTGACCTGAAATGAAAATTGGGACCAGAATACAGTCGGAACAGTTTCATGTCTTAATTTTTATTCAACATTCTAACTTATTTGTAAAGTTTTGGCATAGAATGGCTAAGCTCAGAATTAACCGCTTTTTCTTTGGTAACTTGTCTCCAAAAAAAGAAGTAAAATCTTACTCTTGTGTTCTGGGAATGGAGTAGAGCTGGATTTTTTAACAACTTGATAGTTGAAGCATTATCTCACGTTAGCTTTGATCCTTCTAATTGAGAATGACCCATCCTTTGAGTATCTTCTTATCCAAATAGTTGTAGCCACAACAAGATCAACTTTTATGGTTGATAAGGTGGATCATAGACGGTTTATCAGAAGACCAAGCTACTCATCATAAACACAGGCATGAAGTCCTCCTATTATTTTCTACGTCTCTAGCATAGTCATCATTAGTAAATCAAATTAATTCACTAACTCTTCTCTTTCTATAAAATACACCATAATTTGCTGTAGCTTTCAAGCACGTTAAACCTTTTTAGCTACTCCAACTTCCGCATGACATAAAATGATTAATCAAACTAATACGTTAATGGAATTATTGATATAGGATCAGGGATTTTGTTTTTTACGGGTTGTGTACACAAGTGATTCTCAATACATAGACGAAAATGATATTTTGGTCTAAATAAATTTTCGATATTCTAAGAAAAAGTAATGCCACTCGTAGTGAATGTGGCACTCGAGAATAATGTTATATATTCCTTCCACTCTCTATTTAAACATCCATTGCAAAAACAATTGTGTTTTGAGTTCAAATTAATTAGCTCTCTCTTGTTCTCAACACAAAACAAAATTACCTTAAAATAATTATAATAAAAAAAACATCATGGGATCTCTGTGTCCCATTCGCATGGCTGTTGGAGTGATTGGTATTTTCTAGTTTTAATTTTTGTATTTCAATTAATTCTCTATGTTCTAAGTTATTATTAATTATATGTTGCAGGAAATGCTGCTTCTTTGCTGCTTTATACTGTTCCCATGTAATCAAATTTCCCCAACTTTCTTCTTATTATTAATCCAACTCTGTTCTAAGATGGGTCGTACAAATGTTCATTCCATATCGATTAGAGAGAGGAACGAGTATTAGTAGGATGCTGGTCTCCAAATGAAGGATTATGAGATCTCACGTCAATTAAAGAGGGGCTTGAGTGCTCGCAAGGACGCTGGTACCTAAAAGACAGTGGATTGGTTGGAAAAGAGAACGAAATATTATTTATAAGAGTGTGTAAATCTCTCCTTAGCAAACGCGTTTTAAAAACCTTGAGGAGAAATTTGAAAGGAAAAACTGTAGTGAGCTTGAGCTGCTACTACCAGATCCAAATAGGATGAGAAATCCCTGTTTAAACGAGCTAGTTAAACGAGGCTAGAGATAAAGCTTATATTCCTTGTTGTTGTCCCACCCAACCCCGCTTCCCCGCTTACATTATTTATATATATATATATTATATCAAAACTAAGGCATAAAATTAGACTAGTTATTTAGTATAATAATTTTTTTTTTTATAAATATTTTTGAAATTGTATTGTGTATATGCAGATTGACATTTTGGAGGGTTATAAAGAAGAAGAGCACAGAGGAGTTTTCATGTGTTCCATACATGGTTGCCCTAATGAACTGTCTTCTTTACACTTGGTATGGTTTACCAGTTGTAAGCAAAGGATGGGAGAACTTCCCTGTTGTCACCATTAATGGCCTCGGAATCCTTCTCGAGTTCTCCTTCATCTTCATCTACTTCTCGTTTGCCTCGTCTCGACCAAAGGCAAGTTCACCAACCCCCACTCCCTTTTTACATCCCGTTTCGTAAACATTTTACTTTTTCGTTTTATCCAAACATGCCACTCGCTATTCGAGATTTATTTCTTTTTTCTTTTTAGTCTACGTTCATAGTCTCTCGTGTTTTAATAATTTTTATTTAATCCAAAGATTCTCTCCAAAATTTTTTAATATTACTTTGGGTATTTTTATTAATTCATAACCATCCAACAATTTAATATACACTATCCTTTTTAAAATTTGAATAAAAGATAATGGAAACCAAAAGATTCAAACTTTTTAATTGATTCTTTTCCCCAATATCTATAGGGTGTTGATAAGTCTCTTTCACGTCTCTATATTACATCTTTTCAAATCATTATCAAAATCACATCTTTCGATATTTTAAAGACATAACGTTAAGTGACGGGTCGACCCCGAATAATAATAATAATCATAATAATAATAATTTGTGGTAAAAGATTTGAAAATAATGTGTGCAGAAGAAGGCAGTTTTGGGATTGGTGGGAGTTCTTACAGTGTTCTTCTGTGTGGGAATGATCTCTGCTTTTGTTCTGCATACTCACCATCTTCGTAAGCTCTTTGTGGGATGCATTGGCCTTGTTGCTTCTGTGGCCATGTATGCCGCTCCATTGGTAGCCATGGTAAGCTAGCATTGGTTCGGTCATGTTCTCGCTTCTAGTTCTCTAAACGTTTATATTTAAATTAAACTCATGTTCGTTCGATAATGAACAAAAGTTTAGTTCATTACAAATCATCCTCTTTCTATGTCATGCAGAATCAAGTGATAAAGACGAAGAGTGTCAAGTTTATGCCATTTTATTTGTCGTTATTTTCGTTCTTTGCAAGTTCCATGTGGTTGGCTTACGGACTCCTTAGCCATGATATCTTCCTTGCGGTTTGTATTTACTACAATCCTTTTTTCATATTTTGTTTTGAAAATGATTTGAATTATAACTTTTTCGACCCAAATAATCAATCCAACCCAACTATAAATTTTCTAGGTTGGATTGATTAAAATTGTTCGGGTCATTTATCTAATTTTTTTAATAAAAATAATATGTTGATTCGTAAAATATTTATTTACTTATTTTTCGAACGTCAACAACGATTCCGTTCGAAATTAACATGCGAAAGTTTGAATTAAATAATTTGCAGTCTCCAAATCTAGTGGGAAGCCCATTGGGATTGCTTCAACTTGTGCTGTATTGCATCTATAGGAACAAGGAACATCAACAAGAAGCTGTGAAGGAGATAGAAGGTTGTGTAGAGCCTATGCCCAATTGGGACATCGAAAAGAACAATAATCAACATCAAATTCCACACCAAAATAGCTCCCAAGTTTAGTACACCTATACTATACGAACATTTTGAGCTATGGCAATGAAAACGTTTATGATCTAGTGTTACTGTTAAGGACAAAATTTACTAATTCAACTACTAAACGTGTGTAGTATATTCGACGTGCATGTCAAATAACTCATTTCAAAGGCAGCATTCAACAACGTATCATGTGTCATGGTCATGCTTATCTAAGATGTGTTGCATGTGGCTACATATCCATCTAAGTTCTTTTACTTGCTTTCATGATTATAATTTATGCATGACTCCCCGTTAAAATCATGTCTACAGACATGCCAAAGGCAATTTGCCTTAAAATGAACTATCGAGGACCCATATTATATGCTATCAATGACATTGTTTCTTATTACTTGCTAGCGTATAACATTATTTTCTCAAATTGCTTTTTAAATGTTTTTCAAAACTTTCTCTAACGCCGTTTTCTAAAACCATTTTCTAAGAGTCCATACTAACTATGATTCAAGGTTTAGTTGGTTGACTTATTAAACCACGAGTAGGTGTCACACAATCACTTTGAGAGTCGGGAAAGAGTTTCAAACTACTTTTTTTTTTTTTTTTTTTTTTTTTTTTTTTTTTTTTTTTTTTTTTTTTTTTTTTTTTTTTTTTTTTTTTT